CGCCCGCCCGCCCGTCCCCCTCCCCAGTCTATTTTAGTAACAGTAACCTTGACCTTAAAAACTTTAAAAACCCTTTTGTGCATCAATATTTCACAGTGTATTACTATGTCAAATTTCAGACAGATTAGTCCTTCAGATTCCGAGATAATCTCCGGAAACAAAAAGTGTGGATGGATGGACAGACAGACACCATGATTACTATAAGGAACCCGCTCCTCTGATGTGGGGCCCTATTCGTGACCTGAACATATTATCTGACAGCTACATTGTCCGCTGATCGTCTCCTTGACTTCAGACAGTCATCTAGACTTTTATTAGTTACTTAACTTGAACTCTGACAGTCACCTTGACACCTGACAGTCATCTTGACACTTGACAGTCACCTTAAACTCTGACAGTCACCCTGACACTTGACAGTCACCTTGACATTTGACAGTCACCTTGACACTTTACAGTCACTTTGAACTCTGACAGTCACTTTGATCCCTGAGAGTAATTATACCTTTGATAGTTGTCTTGACATTTACAGTCACCTTGTTCACCAAGTTACCTTGACCCCTGACAGTCACATTGACCTCTGATAGTCATCTTGACATTTACAGTCACCTTGACCTTTGATAGCCATATTGACCCCTGACAGTCACCTTGACCTCTGATAGTCACCTTGACCCCTGGCAGTCACCTTGACCTCTGATGGCCATCTTGACCCCTGACAGTCACCTTGACTTTCTGATAGTCACCTTGACCTATGCAACATTTTGACCCATGACAGTCATCTTGACCCTTGACATTTTACTTTTTACCTCTGACAGTCAATTTGACCTCTGAGTCATCCGACTGAGAAATTTACACAGAATTGCATGTATAATTCGTCTATAGCAACTGGAACAAGCCTAGGTTGACAGCATAGAGATCCTCCAGGTAGTAAAACAGCATCCAGTTTCCGTACCAAGTAATATTTATATATATTAATATGTTGGCTGGAATAGCACTTCGGCATTGAGTTGAGACTTACTTATTCCTATAGGGTTAACTTCGGTAAGGTATCAGCGTTGAGTTGAGACTTACTTATACCTATAGGGTTAACTTGGGTAAGGTATCAGCATTGAGTTGAGACTTACTTATACCTATAGGGTCAACTTGGGTAAGGTATCAGCGTTGAGTTGAGACTTACTTATACCTATAGGGTTAACTTGGGTAAGGTATCAGCGTTGAGTTGAGACTTACTTATTCCTATAGGGTTAACTTGGGTCAGGTAATTGTGTATCCGGAACAAATCATCACGCAGGTTTTTGTCATCAAATGTGAAGTAGCAAACGTCACGCTTGGCCTGAGCGGCTGCTATCAGCTGAATCAGGGCTGGAAAAATGGATGAGTAATATTTCAGATTTATGTTGATATAATGTCAATCAAGCCAGGTATAGAAATTATTCTTTTGTGCTTTTCTGTCATGATATATTTGTAGTTACCCCACTTACCATATCGTTTAAAAAACACAACTTTGTGGATTAGTTTAAGTATTTGAAAAGAAAAGCAGTTTTTGTTCATGGTGTCTACCTTTTCGAAGATTTGCTAAATGGTCAATTTTGCAGGCAAAGACTTAGAAAAAGGAGGGAGAAATGTAATAGAACTGGACTTGGTTGATTGTTGACGACCAGAAAGCTGAATTGGTAGAGCATTTGTCTGGAGTTCCGAGGGTCCCTGGTCCCTGGTCCCTGGTCCCTAGTCCCTAGTCCCTGGTCCCATTGCATTGCATGACACTTTCTTGGGCCGTTTTCCCACAACTATCTCATTTCTGGTACTGTCCCGTTTTAGGTCCTGTCCCATTTTTGGTCCGCTGACGTTATGTTTGTCTTAAACAGGACTCACCTTTGAGCTGCCGGTCCCCTCCGAAGGCGCCACATCCCCAGTTTCCTGTACATACAGCGGGCAGATGCTTGGCGTCTTTCACTACAGGATTCATGAAACCACAGTAGGCCTAAGAAACAGAAACAAATTATTTCAGGACAAATTTGTTGTAAATCTGTAAATGCTGTAAAGTTTGTGACATTCATGAGGATTTATTTTTCGCTATATTCGCAGTCTCCAAAGATCATGCAAAATCAAACCAGCAGCGAAAATTAATGCCATGAATATACAGAGACACAACAGAAGACCTGTTGACCCTTTTACTGTCGAATAATGAAGATAAAACACCAATGCAACTTTACTTTTGAAAGGAATGCCCTCATTAGCGTAATATTTTTACTTAGTAATGTTGCACAAATTTAGGATAACCCCGAAATATTAGCCCCACAGAATCAAGAAAAATATACAGGTCAGCCATAACATCAAGGGGCAGATTTTGGTTTCCAGAAGCTCAATAATCATGACGTTTTCTCTAGGGACAATTATGCCTGGATTAAACAAAATTTTACTGTACCAGAAACTAACTACCATAATTACGGTTTGACAGCATATTTAGGTCACACAAGGGAAGAACGCACAGTACCTTGTCAAGTTCTCGGACGACAGAGTGTGATTTGAACTGGCGTGCAGTTCCGTGGAAGATAAGGGCGTCGATAGCCACGACATCGGTGCAGAGTCGTCCCCAATTATCTCTGTCAACAAATACACAGTGTCAGCAGACGAAAGGGCTATCACAGTATATTGGGAAACAGCTATATTGCAATACGCATGCACAACATATCGTATCACAATACAGATATGAAATACCACTGATACAATATTTTTTTCCAAAAACTTATTTTTATATGGTAGGTGTTTTTACTTTGCAAATTCCTACACATTCTAACAAGACATGCCAACAACCATGGGCAGGATTATTACTAGTGGTGGGAATCGTTTGAATTTCGTAATTAATAAAAGAAAAATCTGTGTAATCCATATGATATAAGATTACATTCTAACAAACATTTCTTTTTCAAATTAAAACATTTTTCCTATGACAATATATTGGGATACGTATCGCATTACATTCTTTTCTGTATTGCAATATATCATGATTACCCTGATACCCGTAGGCCGCATTTGTTTATCGCGATCAAAAGAGTTCAGCCGATGGGACCAGAATTGTTCGTTTACGAAATAAGTTCGGACCTAGTAATCTGATGCTGCTTTCAGACAAGCCTTGACAAAGCCTTGCAGGTCCGCCAGGATTTACAGATAAACCAGTTAAACTTGATATGCGAAAGGGGCACTAGTAGAAAAAGCCATATGGACGATCTTTTCTATTAACAATTTCGTACATTAAAGACTTTTTATAATCACTCTTATTTCACTTGCCACCTTGCTAACTGCCAACGTATTTCAGGTCCCCTTTCCCTATTCTTATTTAACCATTTTATGTGTCTATATATGGAGACAATGGATAAAAATAAGTCAATTAATTGTTAAAAGATTCATGAAACTCGGCCAATAAGTGTTTATATGTGATGTTTCGATGATTAGTAAGGTATGAGCTCTGTCACCTTCATCAGACAAATGTCCAGTGAAGCGTATGTACACAAGTACACAGGTGTAAAATATGTGCGAGTTGTCAACGCAAATCGATGTCGATTCAGCTACTATGTAATCGTATGTACCATTATACATTGGAGCCGAATCAACATCGATTTGCGTGGACAACTTGTACGTAGTTTACACCTTTGAGTACATACGCTTCACTGGTCATAAAAACACTTATTGGTTGTGCTACATGAATCTTTTCACAATCCATACTTACCAACCTGAGGGAAAATGTTCAGAAACAGGTCAACAAATGTTATAAGGTTTTGAAATTAAAGCAAAACATGCATAAGTTATACAATTAAATTTAGCAAGAAAATGATAGAAAAATGTTGAATTTGAAATATTTGAATAGATTTCGAATTTAAACAAAATATTATTTAAAATGATTTTAATGAAATGAAAATAACAAATTTGAGGAAAAGCTTTAAGAATATTTTGATTCCCATATAACTATAGGACCTATCGTGAAATATGAACTCAGTGAACACATAAAGGGTTACAGGGCGTACCTTGGTGTTTTATCCTCGTAATTTTCTTTCCACCTAAAGGTTCTGGCATAGCCGTCATAGTCACTGAAACGCTCACAACCTGTCAGAGATACAAGAAACAAATTAAGGTAAAGGATACCGACAAGTTAAACTAAATTTTTCAACCAATGTCAAAATTTCAAAAGTACATGTACATGTATTCCATAACAAGCCAATCGGATTAATACGTCTTGCCTGTGCACTGCTTTGACCATCAATGCACATATCAGAGAAACTGACTTAAATGCAAAAACAAAGTCAATTGACCATGAAAAGTAGGGTGCATTCAGCATTTGATGCATGGGTTGAGATGTACTACCTAAGATGCATCTATGGTCTAAGTTTGGTTGGTCGAGCACTTATGCTTTCAGTGAAACTTAGTTAAACGCAAAAACTTAATGTTGACGCGTCGCCTTCGTCACCAGAAAAGCAACACCTAGGTCTCGCTTCCGCTATTTTGCCGTGGCGAGACAAACATCACATTTTGCGATGCATTTTACAGAATTATGATATTTTAAAAATTGAATGGTTTGAAAATAGAAATTAAAAATAAAATGAAAACAGAAACAGAAGGGGCCTTTACATTGCACAGGCTACATTTTATCAATGTTGCAATGCAGGATAAATACAAGCATCACTAGGTTTTTTTTAATGTTTCAAAACATTTATTTGACTCGTCAATATCAAGTCAACTAATTATTTCCACTTGAATATATCTGTAACAGATTAAATGATACTACTCATATCCCGCTATATAGCATGTATTATGGTGTTGCGCTAGCGTACGTCTACCACGTATAACAGGTTGATTTCTTTACTTTACAACGGGTACACCCGACACATAGAAAAACATGTGACATTATTTTCAGTTTGAACTATGTGGATCACATTAAATATACCAAACTTGTTGTGGCACTAGATTTTTCATAGCATAATAATCGAGTGTTTTCTATCATACCCTCCCCTGATATCTTCGATATCCCTTTTTTCAGCCTGAAATTGCTAAAAGTTCTTCAGCTCCCGAGAGGCATGAGCCTTACTCCCTAAGCCTGTACATTCGCTCCCCCAACTCCCCCTCCCTACACCCCTTTTTATATTTGTTGAAAAATACTAAAAATAACTTATACTTTTACACTTTTTTATTATAATTATTTTTTAAGCAAGGAGTTTCTAAATAGAAAAAAAAAACACACACAATTTTATATCGTGTTTTCCCTGAAGTGGATGGATGTGTTCATTATAAGGTTGCTTTCAAATACGATGGAATATTAGTGTGCAAGAAAGGGTACGACTCTATACACATAACCTGAAATCAGCTAGATACTTCTGTTGGCCCAAGCTTTGCTGGGCATGAAGGAGGGTGGGAGATCCAAATATTTTATACCCTTTATATGCTTAACTCATTCCCCCCTGAAATTTTATAATGGACTATTCCAACCTTTGAATTGGAAGAGTTCAAATGTGTCTTCAGGGGTGAATGAGTTAATACATAGCGTTTCACTATAAATAAGAGACGCAAGTTACGCCAAATCAGAACAACAGAGAACAACTTAGAGAGAAGGTCACAGGCTGCAGCGAACACCCTTTATTTGGAGTGAATAAACTTGACCAATGAACCTTGTTAACCCTTGTTTTGCTACAGAGGTCTTAATAATTCATAATACTTTGAAAAAAAATCAGCAATATTTGAAAAAATAATCATAGTTTTTGCAGTATAAAATCTTTGCGATAACCAACCCTATTTAGAACCTACCTTTCATGATGAGGCATTCATTTTTTTCAAGACACTCTGTGATGAGGCGTGACACAATCATTTCAGGGCAAATGAGAAAGCGGATCTCCTCCTGAACACATCCCTGACCCAGGACACCCCCTCCTAGGTACTTGTTGGCAAAGTCCACCTACAACAGTACGGTGTCAGACCCTCTCAGGCAAATCTCAAAACATCATGGTCACATGGATGTTTGTGGACATTGTAGGTTTGTATGTATTGTAAGTTATTGACAGGAAAAGGTATACATAAGTCATACAAATGTAGGTAAAAAGAAAGCAAAATATATATTTTCAATAATTATTTTTTCAAAGTAAAAAGTTTACATATTTATCGTATTTGTAGAGCACAGTTTCATGACATAATTACATTTATGTTATAGGCTACCTTGCACATTTTACCTGTAATTGTTTAAGCTGAGATATCTTCCTTATGATTTCTATAATTTTAATTTTAATGTATTTTGTCTACCTTTTAAAAGTGTCATTAATTACATTTAATGGAGACCAAATAAACATTTTTTCAAACATTTTTCTTTTCAGAGTGGAACTCTTTTGGGTTGAAGGTAATTCAGGTTATCCAGTATCTACCGTACCTGTAACATGCCTAACCCATCATCCTCTATGGTGCCCTCTGCCGACACATGTAAACCCCGCAGAGACGTGTCTAGTTTATGCCACTCCGGACATTTTTCCACTGTCTGCCGTACAAATGTCACTGTACCAGTGGGAACTGAAAAACAAAACAGAAACCTGTAATTTTGATATGACAACGAAGCAACTAGCTCAGTGACAGAGGCAAATGTACTGTATATCTGGTATTTTTTCCCCAAGGGATTTAATTTTGCTATATTTGCCATCACCAAAGACAGCATGAAATTCATTCATTCACCCCTGAAGACAAATTTAAACTCTTCTAATTCAAAAATTGGGATAGTTCATTATGAAATTTCGGGGAATGAGTTAAATACCAAAAGAATAATTGCATCTTGAATATATAGAGATTAAATTAAGATTAGATTAAGACCTGTTTACTCTTTCACTGGCAAATAATGGAGATGAAACTATAATTCAATATCATTATTTATGTTTATTTTAACTAGAACACTGACAGGTCAGTAAGGGCCCCGTCTTGTGGCAAAATATCCACCATAATCATCAAGAAGCAATCTAACCATATAGCTGAGTTTGACATTTGACATTTGGACTTCAAAAATATACGGCGAGGACTGATATGGGTTAAAGCAATTTTGTTGTATCGCATATTCAAACAAGAGGCCCAATGGGCCTGCATCGCTCACCTGGTATTAATCTCACACTTGTAATCTTAAAAGTGGACTAAAATACAGCTACAGGCAAAATATCAGTGTTTCATTCATAACAACCTATTAAAAGATTTAAACATATGACACCTGTGACCTTGAATGTCGAACAAGGACATTATAATATTAGGGTGAACAGAGTTTATAATCTTCCAACCCAGCATGCTTCTGGAAAAATATCATTACCCTGGACCTTTTGGTTATAAAGAACAAATCATTTAAAGATTTGAACATATTGACCACTGTGACCTTGAATATGGGTGAAGGTCATTCATTTGGTAGTCCTTCATCCCAGCATGTTAATGGCCAAATAGCATCACCCTCGGCCTTTTGCTTATAAAGAAGAAGTCATTCAATGGTTTTAAACATATTTGACCCCTGTGACCTTAAAATATATATGTCAAGGTCATTCATTTGAACTTGGTAGTCCTTAATCCCAGCATGTTACTGGCATTATCCTAGGCCTCTTGGTTATTCAGAAAAAGTTGTTTAAATGTTTTAAACATATTTGACCCCGGTGACCTTGAAAGTGGGTCAAGGTCATTTATTTGAACAAACTTGGTGGCTCTTCATCCCAGCATATTACTGCCCAAATATCATCATCCTATGCCTCTTGGTTATTCAGAAAAAGTTGTTTAAATGTTTTAAACATATTTGACCCCTGTGACCTTAAAATATATATGTCAAGGTCATTCATTTGAACTTGGTAGTCCTTAATCCCAGCATGTTACTGGCATTATCCTAGGCCTCTTGGTTATTCAGAAAAAGTTGTTTAAATGTTTTAAACATATTTGACCCCGGTGACCTTGAAAGTGGGTCAAGGTCATTTATTTGAACAAACTTGGAAGCCCTTCATCCAGGCATGTTACTGTCCAGATATCATCATCCTAGGCCTCTTGGTTATTCAGAAAAAGTTGTTTAAATGTTTCAAACATATTTGACCCCTGTGACCTTAAAATATATATGTCAAGGTCATTCATTTGAACTTGGTAGTCCTTAATCCCAGCATGTTACTGGCATTATCCTAGGCCTCTTGGTTATTCAGAAAAAGTTGTTTAAATGTTTCAAACATATTTGACCCCTGTGACCTTAAAATATATATGTCAAGGTCATTCATTTGAACTTGGTAGTCCTTAATCCCAGCATGTTACTGGCATTATCCTAGGCCTCTTGGTTATTCAGAAAAAGTTGTTTAAATGTTTCAAACATATTTGACCCCTGTGACCTTGAATATAAGGCAAGGTCATTTATTTGAACAAACTTGGAAGCCCTTCATCCAGGCATGTTACTGTCCAAATATCATCATCCTAGGCCTCTTGGTTATTCAGAAGAAGTTGTTTAAAAGATTTTAACATATTTGACCCCTGTGACCTCGAAAATTGATGAAGGTCATTTATTTGAACAAACTTGGTAGCCCTTCATCCAAGCATGCTTCTGGCCAAATATCATCACCCTAGGCCTTTTGGTTACTGAGAAGAAGTTGTTTAAAGTAAAAAGTTGACGCTGGACGGACGACGGACACCGCACCATGCATGCCATAAGCTCACTTGGCCCTTCAGGCCAGGTGAGCTAACAACCCATATTTATTAGTAAGTATGTAATAAACAACAATACCGAACTGTTCCATGACTAAATTGATTCTGACATCTTTATTCCTATCTTCATTTATTCCCTTGATGGCACTCTTTAATTTACTGTATTTATCCGGCAATAAGCCCATGCTTTGTAATAAACCCACCAACATATATCGCAATTAGAAAGAAATGTCAACAAAAGCTTTTTCCTTGTCCTGTAATAAGCCCACCCTACTTTCAGTCAGAGTTTATGTAACGACCCCCTGGGCTAGCTTATTGCAGACTTAATACTGTAAGACCTATAAACCAGTAGAAAACCAAGCCATAAATATGATGAAGTTGATAACATGATGTACTTACCAGTGGTAGTGACTCGCCGAAAATAGTTCATTATACACCGCAGCTTTTCTAACTTTTTTGGGTCGGGCTCGCCATCGAACAAGCTGCAGTAGACAGGATTAACATTAGTGATGTGACCAGGAAAAACGTTTTCTTTTACAATGTACAACAAAGTCATTTATACAGAAAAAAAACCAAAAAAAAACTGAATTTGCTTTCTGCACTTTTTATCAAGAAAACCCCCCAGAATAATAATAGAATCTATCATATGTAGGTATTTTGAATATAGATATTCTACCCAAAGTGGTAGAATTTGGGTCAGAAACGAGGATAAATTTGAGTCAGAACTGAGGATTTTTCGAGGGTGTAGAATTTGGGTCAAAACAAAGGATTTGCTGAGTGAGGGTGTAGAATTTGGGTCAGAACCGAGGATTGGCGAAGGTGTAGAATTTGGGTCAGAACCAAGGTTTTGCCGAGGGTGTAGAATTTGGATCAGAACCGAGGATTTGCTGAGGGTGTAGAAATTGGGTCAGAACCGAGGATTTGCTGAGGGTGTAGAATTTGGGTCAGAACCAAGGATTTGCTGAGGGTGTGGAATTTGGGTCAGAACCGAGGATTTGTCGAGGGTGTAGAATTTGGGTCAGAACCAAGGTTTTGCCGAAGGTGTAGAATTTGGGTCAGAACCAAGGTTTTGCCGAGGGTGTAGAATTTGGGTCAGAAACGAGGGTGTAGAATTTGGGTCAGAACCGAGGATTTGTCGAGGGTGTAGAATTTGGGTCAGATCCGAGGGTGTAGAATTTGGGTCAGAACAGAGGATTTGCCGCGAGTGTAGAATTTGGGTCAGAACAGAGGACTTCTCGTGGGTGTATAATTTGGGTCAGAACAGAGGATTTGTCGAGGGTGTAAAATTTGGGTCAGAACAGAGGACTTGTCGAGGGGGTAGAATTTGGGTCAGAACCGAGGGTGTAGAATTTTGGTCAGAACCGAGCATTTGTTGAGGGTGTAGAATTTGGGTCAGAACCGAGGATTTGCCGAGGGTGTAGAATTTGGGTCAGAACCGAGGGTGTAGAATTTGGGTCAGAACAGAGGATTTGTCGAGGGTGTAGAATTTGGGTCAGAACCGAGGATTTGCCGAGGGTGTAGAATTTGGGTCAGAACCAAGGGTGTAGAATTTGGGTCAGAACAGAGGACTTGTCGAGGGTGTAGAATTTGGGTCAGAACCGAGGGTGAAGAATTTGGGTCAGAACTGAGGATTTGCCGAGGGTGTAGAATTTGGGTCAGAACCGAGGGTGTAGAATTTTGGTCAGAACCGAGCATTTGTCGAGGGTGTAGAATTTTGGTCAGAACCGAGCATTTGTCGAGGGAGTAGAATTTGGGTCAGAACTGAGGATTTGCCGAGGGGGTAGAATTTGGGTCAGAACCGAGGGTGAAGAATTTCGGTCAGAACTGAGGATTTGCCGAGGGTGTAGAATTTTGGTCAGAACCGAGCATCTGTCGAGGGTGTAGAATTTGGGTCAGAACCGAGGATTTGTCGAGGGTGTAGAATTTGGGTGAGAACCGAGTATTTGTTGAGGGTGTAGAATTTGGGTGAGAACCGAGTATTTGTTGAGGGTGTAGAATTTGGGTGAGAACCGAGCATGAGTCGAGGGTGTAGAATTTTGGTCAGAACCGAGGATTTGTTGAGGGTGTAGAATTTTGGTCAGAACCGAGCATCTGTCGAGGGTGTAGAATTTGGGTCAGAACGGAGCATTAGTCGGGGGTGTAGAATTTGGGTGAGAACCGAGGATTTGTCGAGGGTGTAGAATTTGGGTGAGAACCGAGGTTTTGTTGAGGGGGTAGAATTTGGGTGAGAACCGAGCATTTGTCGAGGGTGTAGAATTTGGGTGAGAACCGAGCATTAGTCGAGGGTGTAGAATTTGGGTCAGAACTGAGCATTTGTCGAGGGTGTAGAATTTGGGTGAGAACCGAGGATTTGTTGAGGGGGTAGAATTTGGGTGAGAACCGAGGGTGTAGAATTTGGGAGAGAACCGAGGGTGTAGAATTTGGGTGAGAACCGAGGGTTTGTTGAGGGTGTAGAATTTGGGTGAGAACCGGGCATTAGTCGAGGGTGTACAATTTGGGTCAGAACCGAGGACTTGTCGAGGGTGTAGAATTTGGGTCAGAACAGAGGATTTGTCGAGGGTGTAGAATTTGGGTCAGAACCGAGCATTAGTCGAGGGTGTAGAATTTGGGTGAGAACCGAGGATTTGTGGAGGGTGTAGAATTTGGGTGAGAACCGAGCATTTGTCGAGGGTGTAGAATTTGGGTGAGAACCGAGCATTAGTCGAGGGTGTACAATTTGGGTCAGAACCGAGGACTTGTCGAGGGTGTAGAATTTGGGTCAGAACCGAGGATTTGTTGAGGGGGTAGAATTTGGGTGAGAACCGAGGGGGTAGAATTTGGGTCAGAACCGAGGATTTGTTGAGGGCGTAGAATTTGGGCGAGAACCGAGGGTGTAGAATTTGGGAGAGAACCGAGGGTGTAGAATTTGGGTCAGAACCGAGGGTGTAGAATTTGGGTCAGAACCGAGGATTTGTTGAGGTTCTGACACCAAATTCTGCACCCCAGGGTAGAAAAACATGGCACAGACAATTCAAATGAAACACTGCAAGATTGTCACAGTCAGTCAAATGACATTTTGGCACATTTTCAATTACGACGACATAATGAAACGCCGTCATCTGATTGTTATGTCAAGAGTACAGGTCACTGAGTACATCAATGTGGGCTTATTACAATCTCTCATCCCCTTGGGGGTGAGATAGGGGAATCTCAACCCGAAGGGGAAGGGGGAATCTCAACCCGAGGGGAAAAGTTCTTAAGTTGCCAAACATGTGGCTTTGCCAAGTGTTTGGCAACTTATAAGAAATCCCCCCCCCTCCCCCCCCTGAATTCACCTCAAACGGTAGTGTCTCCTTTGGGGGTAAGATATTCTATTAATCGCACACCGGAAAAAGTGTGGATACAACTGTCCATGTTAAGAGAAACAAGTATCCCACACATGTTTTCCTGATGGGACAAATGGATCTTTCATTCATATGAAGGAGTGGGAGAAAACATAATAAACAAATAGTTTGACTGAGACTGAGAGATTGAGTCATTAATCGATAAGGAAGAACATGTAAGAGAATGAAGTATGTGTGCTAGGTGGTCAGGCCTGGAATAACACCCAGAATCATTCTGTAGAGATGCAGAGGAGATCATCCTAGATATTTTAGGGGTTACGCTCACTTTCGCTCTCTGCTCCCCAGGAATATGTCATAGCAAACTTGAAGGCATGCAGGTAGCAATCCAATTGGTCTCAGGTAAAAAAAAAAAACTGACCAATCACTAGGCTGATACCTGGGTCTTTGAGGGTTACAGAGGAGCGACAACCGACTTCAAAGCCAGTCAATTTTATTGTTACGCGACTGATAACTTCTTTTGATCTACATCAAATAATTAAACTAGTCTTCTCGTTTCATCCACAAGGTGACACACACTGAGCCTTCAATTTTGTGATGACATGTTCCAGGGGTGCAGAGAGCGTAAATGAGCGTTACCTCAGGATTATCGAGGATGAGGAAATATGTACTAATGAAGACTCGGGTCAGTCGTATAATATTTTTTTTTTCGTAAATCTATTATCACAAATGAATGAAGTAATACCCATTTGAGTTTACAAGCTATTGGGATTCAAGTCTTGAAAAGAAGATGGCAATAAAGGAATGGGATTTTTATTTCAAAATTTAAAGATAGCCATACCTGTTAAAGTTGATAGAAGGATAGTTGCTGTACTCGGACGTCTTCTGTCTCGCGTTTCTTCGTGGGAAAGTACAAAAGAATGCATTTGCTAGTAGACAGGAAATCTGCTGTTGGCTGAAGGTCACACTTCGACTCCGTCCTTTTTTCAAAAGGGGTATTGGCTGAAATACAAACATATCCAACTTTTTATTTTTTTTAAATCTGATCTCTGTCCTTAAATAAACAACACCAAAGTGTCTACAAAATTGATTTGAACACAGAATTGAAATTAGGACAAAATATGAACAAAGTAATGATTTCATCGAAAACCTTGAAGAAGTACGAAAGTGCCTTTGGTTCATCGCCGACACCTGAAATTTTGATCAAGCAATGTCACACTCTCAAAGTGAGCACCAGGGAAATGCCAATGAAACAACCAAACATACTAATGAGCATAATCAAAGAAATAGAAGATATTTAATGGTGTCTTCAGTAATAACAAATATATTTCACGAGTGTGGCTAATATTTTAATATCCTTCTATAAACATATCAAAATATTAGCCACACGAGTGATATATATTTGTTATAACTAAAGACACCATTAAATATCCTCTATTTATTACATTTTTAAAGCATAAAACATGAAAAATGTAATGCATTAAAAAAGGGCGGGAATCAGAAGCGTAATTTTTAGCGCCATATTCTAATGACGTCGCGCTTTACAAGGCTGCGCGCCATTTTGAATGGGATACTCAACACAATTCCGACGTTTTCTGCTATTTTCTGGTATGATTGCTTATAAAAATGCTATTAATTGTATGTTTATGTAAATACTTAAGTGTGTGCACCAAACATTTACCATAACAACCACTTATTCTATCGTCGCTTTATTTGAATCTGAACAAAACAATTGTTGCCTTTGAATGCAGCGAATAGAAGATACCGTTATGATTGGTCAATACCAAAAAGTGATATTTTCACACTGTGAAAATGTCACTTTTGATATTTGTCACAGTGTGAAAATATCACTTTTGATATTTGTCACAGTGTGAAAAATATCAGTTTTATCAAGTTGATAGAATCTGATATTTCACTGGCAAAAATGTAATAAATAGCACATATTCCAATTACGTCGTGGTGATGGCCATAAAACTTGCCCATATTAACCTGCATCTCTGAGAACCATGTGCTGTTATTGTGTCAATCAAGTGAGAAGACGATATGTATCACGAAAATCATGATATTCAGAGAAAGCTCTTGAACAACAATTCAGCTGCGACGTGTAGGACAAAAGGGACAGAGACGGGTGAAACTATATGTCCACCATTACATGGTAGGGGCATAAAAATATGGAGTATGTCACAAAATTAGAAAGATTTCTTATGAAGTGATATCTTTATTTGAAATTTGAGCTCGAGTCTAAAACTGCTACATCAGCTCCGATTAAAAAAAAAATAAGCTTAATGATTAGAACATGTTTTGAACAGATGATCAAGAGTTCTTTGTGCTTGAAATAGGGACAGATTTAGAGGTCTAACGTTATCCTCAGGCAAGCCCAGGTGAAGCCTGATAACGCATACCTTATCTTTTTCAAATTAGTCAGTCTTTCTCCCTGAAAATATTGCATTTAAAAGTTAACGAAACTTAATCCAAGGACAATTGTCTCTTACCTGTGTACAAAGGTTTGGAAGGTTCAAGGCTAACCTAACCATTTCTTTTAATGTTTTGCTGAAAAAGTGTTGTCTCTCTTTTTCGTCAATTTCCTTTTAAAGAAACGGGTAAACAGTGATATTATCATTAAACTGTTCTGTGAATACACGAAGTATAAAATAATTGCAGGGCCAGCCTTTCTTTTTATAACTTACATTATTAGATTATTTATTTTTTCTTCCTAAAACATGGGACAAGAATATAGCAACCATTATCTTAAAATCAAGAAATATGGCTTATTACATAAATCTTTCAAATTTGAAGCCAATTTAGTACATTGCGAGTCATGTTTTGGTAATATTGAAACATTAGAGTAGATAAAATTTCATTTCAACAGATTGGAGTCTGGTTTTAACACATGCATCAACAGACTGTATGTCACAGGGTTAAATAAATGTACATTAATAATAATAATATACAACATTTGATATAACGCCCTATATATCTAGCTAACATAAGCCACTCTAAAGCGCTTTACAGTACATAGATATACAATAAATACAATTAGGATATACAATTTTTTGAGGAATTCGCAGGAGCTGCCTTATCAGGCGCTAACTACTAGTCCTATGCCACCTGGCTAATATCTCCCTATGTGTGTATGCCTGCGTGTGCTGGAGATGTATTGTGTTCTGTTTGTAGTGGGACCGTGCTTCCAACGGCATCTTTCATAGTGCCACCTCATTTGAACGCTACATCACAGATACCGCAACATCCACCCCAGACCATTCTATGTCTATTGTCCGTGTTTTGTCCGATCAGTGTTTGTTTCTCTCCGCACTTTGGCGTGTGTGTCCATATTTGGTGTGTTACCTGTTCGGCAGTGTCAAGCGTTTGTCCATATTTGGTAATGTCTTGAGTACATGCCCAGGTGTGACATGTCAGAAAGTTGTTCGTGAGTGAGTGAGTTATCAGTTTTAAATAAAACTATGTACAGTTGCGGAAGCTGGAAGGCGGCCGGAACCATTACATGTACACACCCGACATTATCCAGAGTCCAGACAACTATTTCACCTGACTATATATATGCACCCTCACGACTGTTAAGTCAGTGAGGGTACTTTTTTCCTATACCATATCTACACTTATACATGTCAATCTCTTGCTTTGGGTGATAAATGACTGCACTCTAGCTTGAACTACTTTGGTTTTCCTTGATTGCCGTAACATTTAGTTGACATACTTACAGTAGTGAAGAAGTTATGAAGTGTTTTGAAGTCCCATCTGTCGGAATACCTTGAATTATAGGTTAAAATGACTTCCTGAAATGATAAAAGAAAACATTATATCAAGTTTTAACAGAAGAAATGCTAAAATGATGTCTAACTCTAGATGGACTTCGTATAATGAAATCCATCACAACATTTTTCTTATTAATATTCCAGAATCTACATTCATTAGCTTAAAAAAAGTTTCATTTGAAAGATATATCTGAAAAATATGATAACTTTGATATATAAATATTCATTTAACTGTTACAAGCCATGTTAACTTAGTGGGATGTTTGAAAATTGAAAAATATTTGAAAATTATACCTACAAATTCGAGTATTTTTGCATATATTATCTTACGATGAAATTTTAATCTGAGGACATGCATATTTTGTTTTGTTCGGTTGAATTTGTTATTGAAATATATCGCTTAAATGCACATCTTCTAAACCAGGTACTATACATAACTACCTTATAGAAAACACCAGTTATAAATACTTCATTGTAATAGAATCTGATTATTCTAAAACTTCAAATTTTGTAAACCTTCTTTTCTTTGTTGGTACGAAATTCGACAGATTTACATAAACAAGGAACTGGCCAAATATCATGACATTAAGGCAATGTCTTTCTTTACAAGAAGATGTTTGAATTTACATATAAAGAAGCTTAGGTCAAGTTAATTTTTGTTTCAAACTTTTCAGGCTCCATCCAAGGAAAACTACTACTTGCTAAAAAAAACCATGACCCTATGCCTGGTGGTTCTTTAGAAGAAGTTGTTTATAGAGATACAGTGGAATCTGTATTAAGCGACCACCCAAGGGAAATTAAAAAAAAACGGTCGTTTAATAAAGTTTGACCATATTTTGTACACACAACCAACTATGTGTATAAGCAAACGACTCCTTATTCAGACAACTGTACACAGACCACCGCCCCAAGCGCACGTACAGGTAGTTTAAAACAACATCGTTCAACAGATCAGGTGAATAACTAAACAATAGTCGAGGGATAATTATGACAGTAAACAAACAACAAAGAGTGTTTGAAAAGAATTTTCATTGTACTTGACCTTTTGTCATGAGTGCTAAACCAGAGTTCAAGATTTTGAAATATTTTCATGCATTGGATATTAGAATTTTACCCAATTGAATTCTCAGAAATTAAATAATGAAGATTTTGTTGGACCCTTTTTTGACGGAATAAGTCACCTGCAAATATGGCGAAAAATGAGGACTTAATGAAAAACACAGACGTTTCACAGTATCAGGGGAACTTACTTTTACTAGAAACACTAATTACATAACTACTTGTAAGGTGTTTTGATAACTGACAATTTTTGGTCCTATAATATAAGGCTATTTAACTAGATAAACTTTCATTGCACATTGTTTTGCCAGAAGCTAAGAATTAGCATTGATGAAGCTACACAGAATCTAGGTCTACTTGTCAGAAGCTAAGAATCAGCATTGATGAAGTTACACAGAATATCTAGGTCTACTTGTCTGAAGCTAAGAATTAGCATTGATGAAGCTACACAGAATCTAGGTCTAATTGTTCTATGGAGTTGATTGCAAAATTCATTGATCTCAGTCTTTCAGGGAATAATTGCATGGAAACCAAATATCTAGTGAACAGAAAGGTTTTTCTCTGTCAATCTTGGCCTACAAGGTAGACACACCTCCAGTTCGTACGGGCCAGGAATTTCGCAGAGCAAGACTTCAGTGATCATGTCCCATCTTCTTCGTACTGTCTGCTTCCCATCCTGTAAAATCATAATTACTGGTATGTATTATCAGTCATAAATGTTTTTTTCCAAAAATAGCTGTTCAGCAACCAAATAAATTTTAAACAACATTATGGGTAGAAACCATAAATACTGTGTCATTGAAAAAAAAAAGTTGTTGCTACAACATAAGTAGCTGTACAAATGGAGCTGGGTGACAGTATATGCTTTGAAGTAATATGAGATGGACTGGCGTCCTCCTCATACCCTACTCCCTAAGGGGAACAGTATCTCAAAGTCTCGTTGATATATTTTATTGCTGTTTGCTAAAGGCATGCTTTTGTATGTTTTTTAAAGAGATATACATTAATATATATCAGAACTAAAAAATGGCCTCTTGATAAAATTGTGTGTAACTTGAAAGACGAATAGGTAAATATTAAAATAATTTTCAATTGCTGTAAAATCTTGATATTACAAATGTCACTTATTTCAAATGCCACCTAACTTACTTCATAGTATACATTTCAAGATTCCCTTTTCTTATATTCTTTACAATTCCTTTATCTGTCTACTTCAATGTATTGCCAAGCCCCTTTATAATGCCAAAATTTCACTGGACAAATGATGTCAGTAAAAGAAAGTTTCACAGTATTACTCGATTGCCTTCTTTCATTATATATATATATATATATATATATATAAACATACAGCACCTGTGTACGAGTTAGAAAACAAAATTCAAATGACCCACCTTGCCCTTAACTGGGTATTCATTGAAGTTGGAACATGGCATCCTGACATGGTCATTATCCCAGCGGTCCTTGAAGCTTGATGGGAAGGGGTCAGGGGGCTTACCATTGTACTGAAACTGAAGATTAGTTTGTTAATTGAAAACTGAAGTTGTGAGTGCAGACATGTACATGACTATTCAAAACGTCATTGCAAGTGATGAACAACGACAACAACGACAACAACAACAACGACAACAACAACGACAACAACGACAACAACAACAACAACGACAACAACTTATGGCAGGATAAATATGGTAAAGAAGTGTTTGAATATGACTAACAAATTTGATATAAAAGAAATTTTAAAGAAAACCAACATACCGGTGCCTTGAATAATACTGTGTGTGAGTTTGTTGATACTAGGGGCTGCAACCTCTCCAAACAGCCGGGGCTTCTATTCAGTTTGGAAATTGGTGTACCCTGGCAAAATAATGTGATAACAATTAAAATGAAAACAAAAGGCTGATAAAGCGATGTGTGCACATGTACCTAAACATTCCTCTACCAGTGATTGACTTTTATTTGAAATGAGATTTGTTTCTGTGCTGTAAACATTTCCACTAAATATTGCATCAACTAAATTAATAAGAAATTGTTTGAATTGGATCTTGAACATATATCATTTGAGATTTATAAGATTTTGTTTGTTTTTATTGGGTGTAAATTTCCCTACAACAGCCAGAGTCATCAAGATAAGTCTAAGAATTCTTTATTCAAGTGAGTCGATGGAAAGCTAAAATTAAAAAATAGGTGACAAGTTTCGCAAATAAAGATGAAAATAGAATATCCATTGTATAACATTCTGAAGGAGTTTTTTGCTTTCATTTTTTTACAGTACTGTTTCCTATCAATGACTAAACTAACTTTTATCTCCCTGAACAGTTCTGTTCAGCTCATCGACTAGACAAATGAGTGTTATCTCCCCTGCATATAAGTTTCCTACCCTGAACACACAGTTCTATTTCCTACTATTTCCTATGACAGACTAGTTAATTGTGATTCCTTCCCTGAATGTAAGTTACCTACCCTGAACACCAATTGCTGACGAGTCATGTGTGTTACCTCCCCTGAACCTTAGTTACCTACCCTGAACATCAATCGCTGCAAGTTACCTACCATGAACACCAAGCAATGACTAGTCATGTGTGTTACCTCCCCTGACTGTAAGTTTCCTACCCTGAACATCAATCACTGACAATCTATTTGTGTTACCTCCCCTAAATATAAGTTACCTTCCCTGAACATCAATCACTGACAATCTATTTGTGTTACCTCCCCTAAATATAAGTTACCTACCCTGAACATCAAGTAATGACTAGTCATGTGTGTTACCTCCCCTCAACCTTAGCTACCTCCCCTGAATATAAGTTACCTCCCCTGAATGGCAAGCACTGACTAGTCATGTATGTTACTCCCCCCCCCCCCCCCAAACCTCAGTTACCTCCCCTGAATGTAAGTAACCTACCCTGAACACACAGTCCTGTTTTCTCTCACTAGGCTTCCTCGTAGGAATGTTCATTTCGTGTTCCTCACTGTCAGCTCCAGCGTTCTGCATGTCAGACCGCTCCGAACTGGAAAATTGAAGTTAAAGATGTACTGGTTCACTCTTTTTATTCTTCAAGATTCCTTTCAAATATTATTATACAATGTATGTATTTTTATGTTGTTGTAGTTAATTGATAAGCTTACAGGTGAAACAGGAAAGAGAAAATGCACTGCCAGACTGTGACGCATACCCGGGACCTTCCGAACTCTAGGCAGATACCATACTCTAACCTGCTCGCCAGTCAAGTTCTGCTACTTTTCTCCTTCCTCTTTCTTGTAAGTCTTTGCCGCCAAAAGACAACACCATTTACAAGCCAGGTTCGGGTTCTGGGTCTTGCTGTGTGTTTCACTCTTTCCTGTTACACAGGTAACAGTAATAAGAACATCATTGAAACAAAATAAATTATTGTTAGCAACCCATATTCTCCTGATCTGGACATCCAATAATGTACTTGCTTATAAAATTTCATAATCATAGATGTATATGAGATACGCACCAGACATACTGATACATATTGAACAAAGGATGGAAGGGGGAAGGGGGGCTTATCATAAAGTTGAAATGGGAATTTTTAATTGAATTCAGAGGTAAAAGTTAATTCAAAGAAAGTAAAACCTTACTCTGAAAAGAGTTGTGGAGAATCACATTCCATCGGCATAGTCTGGGACATGTTGCTGTTTTCCCCGTGAATACATTCCGCCACAGAGGACGGGCCTGTCAACAACAAAAACCGTATGACGATGACAATTTAACACTGGCAACCATGTTGGTTTTGTTCTTAAAGTTAGTAACTTTAATTGGTGTTATTGTCAATTGATATCATGGTCAGAACATGCATTATACAAGCGTACACATTTTTTAATGCATTTACGAATAACATGATACAGAAAAACAGTTTAATGTTAAAATCTTTTTCATCAGGTAAAGATCTTGCTGTGATACTAAAATTAAAACCAAATAATACATAAGATTGTGATTGGTGTTCTTTTTGTCCTTTGTTCCCAAAAACAACATTTTAATATCATAAATAAACCATCACTTTATTAACTTTGCACCAATGAAACTCCAGAAATGATTAATGGTAAATTGTTTTCATTTTCATTTGGGACATACAAATTTTCTGTCATATTTTTTATTTAAAAGATGATGCACCTTTGAAGTATGCAGCAAAGAAACCACCAGCCTTTTAAAAAAATCAGGTCCAAAAAAAGTGACAAATTTGGATACACATAGGCATAGGAGTAAGGGGGTCTACTGCAACTTCATTTTGTTAATGTCAGTGATTCTTTTGGCCTAGTTTTACAGCTAAATACAGGCTGCTTCACGTAGCTAAAAAGTGCTTTACTTTCTCAAAATGAAGAAAAATCAGGAATATCTTCCAAATTTTGATAAAAATTATGCTATATTTTCCAAATTCGTGTAGGGAACAGACTGTTGTAAAATTTAGGTTGAAAAATCACTGAATTGGGGCACTGTGTGCAGGCCTGAGAACCGAGTTCTTAATTCAGTTTGGCCTAAACTAGGTTTTCCTTATCATGATGCAAATGAATATGGATATGATAAGTCAATTTAATAATAGAAAAATTACCTGAAAACGAAGTAGCTCCTTTATAACTGCCAGTGGAGGATCCCGCATTACTGAAAGAGAATGATATTCGCAATACGAGAGGTATACAGCTTCAATTTGGGAGGTACACAACACACATGTTGTTGTATTCAGCCCCCATGTTAATATACAGTTATACCTACATAATAAGGTGCCTATAAGTTATAATTATAGGTATTCTATAGATCCAGGATTTTCCAACAATGATAAATCCTCTCAAGGGATTGGTACAACATGGGCTAACGGGGCCCATGTGTCCGATCCAGGATTCAGGAAATATCCTCTCATGGGATCTATATATATCCAGAAAAATTAGATCTAGATATCATGCGGACCCAGGAATTTCCTGATCAGATATCCTCTCATGGGATCCAGGTATATGAGCTACTCATCATGACTGGATCCAGGATTGTCAGAAATATCCTTTCATTGGGGACCGTTTTTTGATAATGGGAAATCTCATCCAGCCGTTGGGACCAGGGGCGACCGTTTCGNTAACGTCAGTAATCCGTGAGATTTCCATAGCTTATATATGTGTAGTATGAGATAGCCCCCAAGGCCAAACCTTAAATGTAGATGATCATGAAATGTATATATTTGTGTATTGTTTATTTCTTCTGTTATATGTATAAACATGTGTATGCTGATTTATAATACATATACAACAATGTTGGTCATGATAACATTGCATACCTATACAGTTAATAAATAGCATTTATTTAACTGTATCATATTGTTCTGGTTGTTTATAAACTGACATTTATATATATATTTCATATAGTAAACTATTTACTTAGAAATAATAATAATAATAATAATAATTTGAGGTTCTTTTATACTGCTTTATCCCAGCCTAGTTTGTAGGTCATCTCAAAGCGGTTCACAACTTATTATCCATGATTATAGGCCTTTTGCAACCAGCCAATATCTTTCTCAACTCCCTGGGGGCATACAAGTCAGCCGGTGCTGCCATTTCAGCGCTCACAGCTAGCATTCAACAATTCCTACACTGCCCAAACACATACTCATTTACCTATTGGTTATTCAGAAGTTGTTTAAATGTTTTAAACATATTTGCCCTCTGTGACCTTGATTATAAGTCAAGGTCATTTATTTGAACAAACTTGGTAGCCCTTCATCATTGCATGTTACTGGCCAAATATCATCATCCTAGGCCTCTTGGTTATTCAGAAGAAGTTGATTAAAGATTTTTACATATTTGACCCCTGTGACCTAGAAAATTGATGAAGGTCATTTATTTGAACAAACATGGTAGCCCTTCATCCAAGCATGCTTCTGGCCAAATATCATCACCCTAGGCCTCTTGGTTACTGAGAAGAAGTTGTTTAAAGTAAAAAGTTGACGCTGGACGGAGGACACCATAAGCTCACTTGGCCCTTTGGGCCAGGTGAGCTAAAAACAAATATATAAGACAAATCCTGTAGTTGTCTATTTTCAAAGCACTTTTGCGGTTGTCCCTATCCCAATTTCTTGCAAAATATATTGCAAAGTAGAAATGTTGCGCTCATGAGGGAACTTTTGTATTTGGATGTGATAGGATTTCTTTTATAAGTATTTTAATCAAAATAGCATAAAATACGATATTGAATCGGACATATTCTATCTCAATTACTTGGCAGTAAAAAGATAAACAGGTCTTTTAGCTTCTTTCTCTTTATAATCCGGGAACATGTATCAAAATCTGTCTGGAATTTTATTTCATGCTATCTTTTGTGACGGCATATATATCGAAATGAAATAATTCTCACGAAAATTACCTACTATATGTAGTTACAGTGTTACTATGTACTTACCTAGTGGTCTGCTGAGGAGCTGGAGTTCTAGAAGGAAGTTTAACACTAAAGGATGCGTTCCTCCCCGAAGTGTTATTTTTCTGCTCAGCCATTTTATTTTTGTCTGTCTGATGAGTTGCAGGTAGAGCTTTTGAGCTAGGAACTTTAACACCGTCGGCTGCACTCTCAATTGGAAAGTTTGTTTTCTCATCGGCCATTTTATTTTTGTCTGTCTTTGCCTTTTGTTGATCTGTGGATTCAAATTACTTTTGGGTTTTAAAAACTTAAAACTTGAAAAAATCAAAAAGTGTTTCATAGTAGTCATGTACAATAATTGATAAGTGTCATTCTCAAATGGTATGCTGCTAACTCCTGGGGCTGTTCATCAACTGTGGCCTGGTTATTTGACTCATTCACCCCTTAAACTTAAATGAACTATTCCAACCTATGAATTGGAAGAGTTCAAATGTGTCTTCAGGGGTGAATGAGTTACAATAGATAAATAGCCTCTACATTGCATCAAAGCATCTCATAGTTGATGCAGTATTTCTAAACCCAATGAAACTCTCATTTTTCCCCCACTTTTTGTTCTCATGGTCATTAATTTCTTCAACTTCATCATAATTTTTATACTACCCAATTTCCATGGGATACTAATTTTCCGAAGATATTATACTTTATTTTTACATCTCTGGAACAACCATTACATTACAAATGTACATAGAAAATAGAGAATATTGTAGATTTATTCCACTGGGAAAAGATCAGAAAATAATTACCACGTTTGGCACTTGAAATATAATGCAGTTTTGTTCTACAGTATCTAAATCAGCAGTTAAGCTGATGAATATATAGATATAAATTTAAACTTTATTTATTTTACAACAATTATAAAAAAAGTGTTTGGCCAGATCTTAGCGTATGATGGGTCTTAATGTGGGAGGAAACTGGAGTACCTGGAGAAAACCCTGTTAGTCAGGCAGGTGAGCCCATATTTATTCACGTCCGATTGAGGAACATGACCCACTGCGCCACCTGATCATCCACTTTTTGAATTAAGCTGATAAATCAAATGCCAATTTCGTCTTTGCGTATTGCAGAGTTATATTCTCTTGGGAGCAGGCATTGATTGTTACGTCACTTATTTGTGAGAGTAACCTCATCAATTTTTGAGAAAACAACGTAATTTTCTCACACAAACCAATGACGTAACAATCAATACCTGCTCCCAAGAGAAGATAACTCTGCAATACGCAAAGACGGAATACCCACCAAAAAAAAGTTGTTGAATTAATTAACCGGTAATAAATAAATTTCGTCCCCTACCTAAAAATTTAGTTAGCTTGACAGCTGATGTAATAGCCAATCTACATCAATTTCAAATACACAGGGATTTTTGTAGAAATCTTTTCAGGCAAGTCAATCCAACCTGGACATCTGATTCAAAACTCTAATAAGTTGCACAACCAAGAGATAAAGTGGATTATCCAGGGGTTACGCTCACGTACGCTCTTTGCACCTCTTGAATATGTCATAGCAAAATTGAAGGCTCAGTGTGCATCGCCTTGTGGATGCAACGAGAAGGCTAGTTTGATCCTTTGATGAACATCAAAAGAATCTCGTGTTAGCGTAACGGTAAAACTTACTGGCTTTGAAGTCGGGCGCCGCTCCTCTGTAATCCTCAAAGGACAAGTATCAGCCTAGTGATTGGTCAGGTGTTTTTTTCACCTGACACCAATCGAAAAGCTAGCCATGTGCCTTCAATTTTGCTATGACAAATTCCAAGAGTGCAGAGAATGAAAGCGAGCATAACCCCTGGATATTGAGGATGATGATGTATCGGGAAAGCATCTGATTCTCAAAAAATACTGAAAACCGGGGCAAATGAGATAAAATGTCTGCTAGTGGTATGTTCAGAGGAGTTAAACGTTAAAATTGTACCCGGCTCTGACTATGGCCCACCTAGTAAGTTGAAACATGTTAATTGGATTATTTAAGTTGCCATGACTCCCCGTTTGATGTTGTCTGGGCATCAATTCTTTTGAATATATTTGAAATAGAAAGGAAACTTTTTTAAAATCAAAATCAACATGAGACAAAACTTTTAAAATACCTTGGTCACATCTATTCTTTTTAAAGAAATCTAGAATGGTTTTCTTTCTTTTTGCAGGTGGCTCACTCATTCTACGAACGAAGAATCTGCAATAAAAAAAAAGTTTGCTATCAAACATGTACATTTTATTATGCTCTATATCAAAAAAATATGTCACACAAAAATTGGAAATGTGATAATACGTTAGAGAGTCTAAACACTTCACTTCTGTATACAGGCATTGGAAAAATTAATTTTCCTGATAAATTTATCTAATTTCTCTATATTCCAGTAAAAACATTTTAAGGTTGTGGACCTTTTTAGGGAGTTAAAACATTTTGAAATAATTTACAGTAATCCTTTATAGTTTGGTTCCTAGATTATTATTATTAATTTTTTTTCAACTAACTTCCAAATACTGGTTTTGAACAAATGTAAATATGTATACGTAAAAACCAGTGATTTTTTTTTGCTCAGTTTTACTGGCGAATACAGGCTGTTTCCTGAAAAGAGCCCTATTTTCCCAAAATGACCAAAAACTGAGGAAGATTCCCATTTTCAATACAAAAAGTGCTATATTTTCCCAATTTATAAAGGAACAGGCTGTTGTAAAATTTAGGTAACAAAAACACTGAAAACATATTATACATATTTTATAAGGAACAAATATCAAGAAAATGACTTAAAACAATAATTCATAATAGTGGCAATCGTTGTTCTTTAACCTAATTTTGGTATCTTTTGTCTTAAGGATCACTGTACCACTGTCAAAAACTGTAGCTATGCATTCGAAACATGGTATGATCTTAGCTTTGAATTTGATAAATCATTTCTGGGTAAAAAAACATACCTTGCACGACTTTTATAAAAAAAAAAACGGAAAAAAAAAATCAGTTTTTTATAATAAATATAAACAGTGTTCTTAATGTGAAAATTCAGCGGGGTCAGTAAAACTCAGCCCAGGATTCTAACCCTGAACTTTAGGTCGTTATACTATCGCCCTAACAGACTGAGCTAACAGAAGTGTTTTGGGCTAGGTAACTGTGCCACAGTTATATCAATAACAGAATTAAAGGCAGGTTACTAAACTATGAAAAACTACAGTGCAGTGGGACAAGGTTCCTTAGAGTGGTGAAGAGGACTGGCTAAGTTTCCATATTTTCTTCACATACTCATAATTTGGGAGATATTTCATAACAACTCTTACCTTGTTTTTCTGTTTCTTAGTAACCTATTCCGTCTTTACGTATTGCAGAGTTATCTTCTCTTGGGAACAGGTATTGATTGTTACATCATTGGTTTGTGTGAGAAAATTACGTCATTTTCTCAAAAATTGATGATGTTGCTCTCACAAACAAGTGACGTAACAATCAATACCTGCTCCCAAGAGAAGATAACTCTGCAATATGCAAAGACGGAATAATCATATGTGATATAATTACCCCCATATTTCTCCAGCAATAAGCCCATCCCTGGTAAAAAAAACAACCACCCATGTCAGGTACAGTTTAACAACAGAAATGCTAACAAACGCTATTTCATTGTTCTGCAATAAGCCCATCCCAGAATTTGAGTTTTAGTTTCATGTGTTTGGCACTCCTTTGCTTATTCCAGGATAAATGAGGTATATCGACTTGCTTGATAAAGTGTTGCTTAAACTGATCATATATATATATAGGTTGGAAAGATGGTTGGTATTTAGTTCATCTAACTCAAGTTAGTTAAGTGTCTTTTACAATCTGAAAATTAACCTACAAGAGTTATAGATAAACATGCTAATCTACCATCATGAGTTTGGGGACCTTTTTTCCAACAACATTCAGACATTCATCTAGAAAACAATATATGTTTCTCTTGAGAACACACTTTCGTAATTCCGATCAAAGACACAATTGCCATGAACTATGACATCATAATGCAAGATGATGTCACAAGGCATTGCTAATTGACGTCGTAATTAGATTGATCAATAAAATAACATCCAGGATGATACCCACTAGTGGGTAGCCAAAAATGGTTTATTCAGTAAGTCAGGAGCAAGGAAGCCTAAAGTGGTTGATAATCGATCAGGAGAAATAGTATACTGAATGGTATATGCACACAATTAAACAATTTTCCTCAAATACAGTATTACCTCAAAGCCAGACTTGCTATTTCTCAATTCTAGAATCAGGTTCCTGATACTGTCTGCTGGTTCACGATGACTGAACAACCCAGATTCATCCATCAATATCTGCCAGCTGGAAATCTCTGGAAACCAATTATTTGATAATGTTTGAATGAATCGAACCTGTAATTTAAGAAATTACAAAGAATTCACGAAAAGTTATACATTGGTTGCATATCACTAGATACCATATTGGTCCTAAAAAATGCCATGGGCACTTGGCGATTCGAGACAATTAAAATGATTTCACAACCATACAAGATTCTCAAAATAGACATAACTATGACATTTTCTCACACAGTCCTTTACTTATGGTAAAGGGATGGGACTCTTGATACAGTAGACTTGTTGGTAGGGTAGGCTGAACCTACATTAATGCTGAAAAGAAGTATTTATGAGATAGTTTTGTCTTTCTTGCATGCATTGTTAAACCTGGAACAACTATATAGTATCAACAGCATCCACAGTCCTCTATTAATCATTGAACAGAAATGTAGAGCAATAGCCCTTGTTTCATTTGCCAATTTGTGAACATATCTCAAAGTGCACTTTTCCTATAAAAATCCATTATATATCTAACTCTTGGCATGGTTGTTGAATGATGTTGACCTTTTTTGCTCCTGATGTTTATAAGAACTTTATGTGTTTTCATTTCAATTTCATTTCAACTTGTTGCCGTAAAGAGTATCTGTTATCCCAATGCAGGAGTATTACCCTTATGAGGGTTGTGCCAATTTCAACCTTTCAAACAAGGCAGTCATTTCTCATTCAACATATACGGGGACAATGTATACACTGATATTAAAATTTACGTATTTCAGATTAATTAACTCAATGATGCTCACAATGATGTCAGTCAACCCCGTTTACCAAATTTGTTCACATAGTCTGCTGAACTGTACCGTAATATAGCGAAAATGAAAGTAGAGTGTCTCCGTTTATCCTTCAGTTTCGATTTCCGCATCAGATTTTCACATATTAAAAACCAGGTATATTTAGACAGATAAGATAATCTTAAAAACGAGAATGTCACTAAGTCGTACATATAAATCACGTTACCTTGCCGATCAGTTGCTGACAAAGCATTCACTTACGCCGATCTAGACTTGTTTACTGTGGCTGCCATCTTTGTTAATGATAGCCTTTAACAGAACAGAAATTATATCATATATTTAAAAAGCATATCAATAATTGAATTGCAGACGAAATTTTCTATATAATTTAGGAATTTGACTTCCAATTTGTGAAGTATGAATGAAAAAAATGTTGAAAACAATTTGAAACAGCAAAATGATTTTGCATTCAATTCACATTATTCATTTCCGTTTCCGGCCTTTTCCGTCGTCCATTGCAAAACTGCAAACATGGTACGTCCGATGAAGATAATCAATCGGGCAAAATCAAAGCTTCTATTTAGTTTTATGTAGAAAATGGATAAATTTGAAACGGAGAAATCAATAAAGATTCAATTCAGTATAATATTTTCCTTATATACAGCACGGAAATCTAGATGCGTTGCGTAAATCATGGGAGGGTTGGGTAAATCGAAGAATTGTTTACTGTAAGATTTGACAACTTAAAAGTCCACCACAATAAGCATACAATTATTTTTATACTCGAGCTTCATAGTCCGTTGGTAGTTTCTTTTTACGATTTACTTATCAACATTTTACATAAGTAATCGACGGGATTGTGTCGCTAGCACTTTGAGAAGTTCCCGATCTTTTTGTCGCATTTGGAGAATGTCCTTAGACAGTACATGTCTTTAGTGTTCACAGACTAGTGTTCATATTTTTTCAGTATACATATCAGAAAAGATCAGAAATTTCATCTCCCGCGGTAGTAGAATTATGAAGAAATTGTAACACATCTGTCAAAATGAAATTGCCCCCGTCCCAACATGCTAAAAAAATGCATGGTACCAGATCTAGACAAAATATGGACTCGTGCTGTGCAAAAACCGAATTCTTTGTACGACTATACCGGTGTCATTTTCCACTTTTGACTTTTCAGCAGACCGGGTTCTATTTGAAATCAAATTTCCTGATGTTATGCCTTAAGATGACCCACTGTCGTCCCACTCTGTTGTATATCCAGAAAATGTCATAGTGTATTCTGTGTAATAAATTAAGATCATAAGCAATGGTTGGAAACCCTTTATTTGAAATGTGACCCATGTTTTTCAGAATGAAGGGGCGGCTACCATCCGTACAAGGAAGTTCATGTCTAATCGTCTGCTGTCCCGGAAGCAGATGGTAAGAAAATTTCTAATCAACCTATCAACAAATTGATCAGCACTAGTTTCACATTTTGTGATAATACTTGCTTTAATTGGAAGCAAAATTCTATTTTAATTTAGTGTTAGCGCTGATTTATTATGAACAGGATTCTTTTCAAATAAAATTGATCATAATATGCATGCATGAAATCATTTGAGGGGGGGGGGGGGGGGGGTTTTTANTGTATAAATTATATGCATTTTACATTGGGCAAGTAGAAAATATTTTCGGGCAAGTGGATTTCTAAGGTCTAGTTGCCCAGGCCTAGGGCAAGTGCTATGAAACAAAATTTTTACACCTCTGCTGTATTTAAGATAATAAATGCAGCGATGCCCAGGAAAATTTTGCTCATTGTACATGTCTGAAACCTATCCAGAAGTCTTGCAACTCGGTTGTGAGTCTACTGTACACTTGTTTCAGAAGTTTTCTTTAAGTTTCAACAACAAATTGTGTTTGTAGGTCGTCGACGTCTTGCATCCGGGAAAAGCCACAGTTGCCAAGACAGATATTAGAGAAAGACTGGCAAAGATGTACAAAACAACCCCAGACACAATCTTCTGCTTTGGATTCCGCACCAAGTTTGGCGGTGGCAAGACGTCAGGATTTGCTCTTATTTATGACAGTTTAGACCAAGCCAAGAAGTTTGAACCCAAATACAGACTGGTTAGGGTAAGTAATGGAATAATACAAAAATAAGCTCAGATTGTTTCCAACTTGTTGCTTGTGATGAAATAGCAGGCGGTTGTCTTCAAAAGATGGTTGATAAAAAAATGAATAAGTGTCGTACATGTATTTAAATATACATAAATGTACAGGTCCCCAAATGCAGATGATTTATTTTTCTTCAGTAAGAAAAAGAAAATAATTGCATTTTTAGGTAGTAACCTGATAATCAGACCCTGCATTGAAAAAATGAGAATGTTTATTTGAGATGCTAATTTTACCACTTCATTTATGATGTCAAAAAGTGTTGTTGTTCATGTTTTAACATAAATATATTATAATCTACATACCAGTAATGTTGTACCTAAAAAAAAAACCTGAGATGTAGTTTTATTAAACAGCATGTACTTCCATTGTAGCATGGTTTATTAGAAAAGCCAAAGGGAGGTAGGAAAAATAGAAAGGAAAGGAAAAACAGACAGAAGAAAGTGCGTGGAACGAAAAAAGCCAAGGTTGGAACAGGAAAGAAGGTACGAATAATTTTTACACTGTCCCAAACATGTTTTCTTTTAGATTGGAGTATCAAGGACTTTGCGTCTTGTTGTTTTCAGATCTAGAGTAAAAGCTTGAAAATGATGTTTTAGAAATGTACTTAAATATAAATACTAATTATTGACTGGGAGAGGGGATTCCACACAAGACAAATCTGAAAACTATTTTGTTTTAGAACAAGTAATAAATGCTTCAACTACCCTGGACTCATTCCCTACCTGATGTTTTAAATTTAGAACATGAAATTTTTTCAGTCAAAATTTCTTGTATAGGTCTCGATTTCTGTTGGGTTCTATTTAAAAAAATTGAATAGCAGTTACCGGTTTTTCAGAAAATATATAGACAATATTAGTGTAGAGGGCTACTTGAGCTTTATACTCAAAAATGTTTGTCCAGTGTAAGATGTCTCAATTATAAAAAGGCTTCCATGCCTTTTGCCAAATCTCCCCTTAAATTTTTATTGAATGTGATTATTGCAAAGCCAGAAAAATCGTTGAGCTGTGTACTTAAATTTGCTGTTATAATTGGAAAAAAATTATTGGTAGGGCAATGAACTTGCACAGGGTTTTCTGTTTGCTCTTGACATTTATTTATTTCACAATTCAAATCACCCTTTCCCTGAAATTTGAAGGGTCGCATCTCCCTTGTCCTTCAATCCAAAGATTCCAGAAAAATCTGGGAAAAAATCTCTTAAATGAACGGCCTGTTAACACTTTTGTTCAAAATTTCCCATTATGAAATATTTCTAAAATTAAGCTATGGAAAACAAGATGGTGGAATATATTTATGATCATGTTTGCTAACTTTGGGATACTGCTTTACAGAAGTAAAGAATTGCTGAGAAAGTGGTAAGAATAGTGTGCACCTGTGTGATGTGTGAACTTGCTTTCCTAACACATTACCGGCATCCATATCATGTTACTAGAGCAAATCGGATTTACTGGTGTGACTGCTATATCTTGATTTCAATCTTTTCTTTCTTAACTGTTTAACAAGTATTTTCTCTCAATATTTGTATTATGTGTAGTTTTTAACTATACCAAGCTGGCTCTAACATTACAGAAATAGTTCTGCTTCTCGAAGCTTAATTGATGCAGTAAAACCTGCTTATACTGCCGTCATTTGGTCAGCAAAATGTTGGCGCTGTAAAGGGGTTTGGTGATTTACGGAGGGAAACATGCAAGCATGAGGAAAAAGGAAACCTTAAAGTCGTTTGGCAATAGGAAAGTGGCAAATAAATTGAGGGGTTTAACTGTATAATAGAACATAGTTTTATGAAAAATTTGAAATACTGAAATAAAGTTTTATGAAAAAGTTTGAAATACTGAAATAAAGTATATGTATCATTACTTACTGTTAGCTTTTCCTCCTCGGTATACTATACAGGAATTCATTTAATTCATTGGAGACTAATACAAGCTTGATAGTTAAAGCATTTAATCACCGTCATGTCGTATGGTGTTGTAGCCTATACTTTTCGTGTAAGGATTATTGAAGCTCGTATTGTTCATATGAATAAAAAGAAAATGTCCGTATTTAGTGAAGTAAGTTTCAATTCATATAATGCTGCACAAAAATGGGAAAATTCAAGCTTTAATCCATATAATACCAAATTCTGTCAATTAGACAGAAACAACAACACCCGAAACTAGTAATGTGAATCACTTATTGTTGAGATATTTTGGCAGATCATGTATAACAGTCCTTGCTTTGGAAAATAAAACACTAATTTGGAATTAGATATTGTTGTCTGAAGTAATTTCGGCAATCTGCATTAGTAAATCTAGCAATCAAGACCATGCTCTAGAGTGTTCTCCCCAGGCTGTTTTTGCAGCATGGCACCATGTTCCTATAATTTCTTGCCATTCTTGCTGTTATCCTAGATCTTCTCTGCTATATATTCATTGTAAATCTAAAGTTACCATGCTGCTTTGATTTTACATAGAGTGCTGCTTTAACAGAAATATTGAAATACCATGCTTCTTTCAAAACATTCTGGGGAGAACACTGCTCTATTGTTTGTGTGACTGTTTTGATTTCCAGCTCACCTGGTCCAAAGGACTAGTGAGCTTATGCCATGGCAGGTCCTCCGTCGGTCGTCCATAAACTACTAGTCATGAACTGAGCAGATTTTTACAAAATTTGGTCAGAAGCATCCTTGGGGGAAGAGGAACAAATTTTGTATAAATAGTGGGTCTGGCCCCCTTGGGGGCTGAGGGGGCTGAGGGGGCAGGCGGGCTCAAATTCTTGAAAATCCTTCTTCTTCTGTAGGAATGAACAGATTTGTTACATATTTGGTCTGAAGCATCCTTGGATGAAGTGGAACCAATTTTGTAGAAACCAGGAGTCTTGCACCCCCGGGGCCTGAGGGGCAGTGCCCGATAGGGGAAATATAGCAAATTCTTTAAAATCCTCCTTCTGTAGGAATGAAAGGTTTTGTTCCATACTTGGTCTGGAGCATCCTTAGGTGAAGGAAACCCAATTTTGTATAATGGTGGGTCTGCCCCCCTGTGACCTGAGGGACGGGGCCCAATAGGGGAAATATAGCAAGTTCTTAAAAATCCTTCTTATTCTGTAGGAATGAAAGTGTATCTTCCAAACTTGATCTAAAGCATCATTGAGTGAGGGGAAACCAATTTTGTATAAACGGTG